GCGATCCATACACAATAATATCTTAGATTTCTGCGCTTACACAAAGAGAGTGAGAGGATTTATAGATTTTTTTTTTTAACAAATCCTTTGTATATTAATAGAGGAGACAGTGAAAATTTTAAGTGTCATTCAAACAGGGTTTTAAGGAAATTTTTAAAAAAACTATTAAAATTTCTTAATAATATTATTGTGTAAATAATTAGACTAAATTTATATCACATATACAATATATAGCTATTAAACAAATATAGAAACAAAGAATATGTGCTAATTAATATGAAAGATTTTATTTAATAAATATAAAGTATATGTGAGAATATATTTTGTTTTCAGTGACTATTAGATTTTTTGACATGCGTTAAATAGGGGATTAGAATATTAAAAAAAAAAAATTCATGATATTTTTATATACGAAAAAAATTAAAAATAACAAAGATATATCTCCAATATAGATAAATATATTGATAAATATATTATATCTAACAAAAATTTGCATGACACTTAGACTAACTGCAGATAATTTTTTGAAATGTCACTTTTCAAAAACGTCATCATTTTGAATTTTTTTTTTAAAATGCCACATATCCTCTATATATTAGCTGAATAGACATTTGGTAAAAAAATCATATGTATTATTCAACGAGGGTTTTAAAGAATATATCATTTAAATTAACTAATGAAAATATTTTAATTAAAACTATATGCTATGGTAGAAATCTCTATATGTTTTTATTAATTTTATAACATAAACCCTTTAATATATATTTTACAGAGTTAAGTTTGACTAAATGTAATATTTAGTTACTATATCATCTATTTTTTTAAATATTGATATATTAAAAAGCTTTTTAATATTATATTTATAATAATATTATTTCTTTACAGATGATAACTACACTTACAAATATTTTTACATTTTATTATTAGAAAACATTTTTTTTTTGTTNCCTCCAACAAATTTATATAAATATAAAATTTATTTGATTTATCGCATACTCTACTATTTACACAAATAATAAAATTCAATTTGACACTTCAAATAATTGAAATAAATAACATTTGCATTACTTTTAATATTTTATGCAAAATTGATCAAAACATTTGATATTGAAATATGTTTAGTAAAAATTTAATTTTATTATATTTATGCACAATACATATCATTTTATACGTTTATAAATATCATAATACACATCTAAATATTAAAATCGATTAAAAAATATATTTTAATATTTAGTAATCTTGTATCTTATATTTATGAAGGACATAGGATGATGAAACCATTTGGTCCGCCAAAAAGATTCGAAACGAAGTCCAATAATTCTCTTAAATGGCTAAAAACCGCAAAGCTTTACCACTAAGAGACCAAACATTGGGAGTCCCTAGATTTATGATCTAATTTTACATGACGCAAATTTGATGTGAGCACAAATCATATTTCTTATACATTATTTAATAAATGAATGGTGAGAAAATACTTCTTTAACTAAATATATATTTTTCCATAAATAAATAAAAGAGTTATTTTGTTAGATAACAACAAACTATATAGGGAAATTAGAAAATGACAAAAGATTTGGGATTCCTTTGATGAAAAATAGTAGGTGGTTGGCTAAAGATTTTGTTATTTTCCTAATTACCTTAAAATCTTTTGCTATCAACCCCAATTTCTCTAAATAAAAAGAAATTTAAATTATTATTGAAAAATTTCAAAAAATGCCACTTTTCAAGTGCCATTTTACAAAAATGCAACACTTTTGAAGTTTTTACAAAAATACCACTTTTTCAAAATTATTTTAGAGAAATTTCAAAAATACCACTTTTCAAATGCCATTTTACAAAAATGCCACACTTTTGAAATCTTTACAAAAATACCACTTTTTCAAAATTATTTTTTCTTTATATTATTTATGTTTGGGTTAATTATGTTCTATTAGAGTTTAGTTTTGAGTGTTTAGGGGGTTTTAGGTGTCAAAACATTTTTTAGGGTTTAGAATTTTAAGATATAGGCTTTATAAATC